ATTTCTTAGACAATCTAGAAGAGATGTATTAGTTTAAAAGTCATTCACTCTTTGAGGAAACACTTTCCACATATTTTCCATGCAGTCTGTGTGTGTGTGTGCGCGCGCGTGCGCGTGTGTGTACGCACGTGCGCACAGACTACCTTTTAGGATTTTACTGTATGTTACGTAACTTTACTTTGCAACTTTTACTTTCCTGAAAGTGCCTGGATAAGTAATGTGTGAAGTGTAAGGCAAAGTTGTTTCTGTTCTATCTTGAGCAGTTCCAAAAATAACCTTCAGGTCACCTTCCCTATCATGTGCAGATTGGCTTGGTGTGCAAGCCACAGGTGCCAATCATTCTTTCTCTACTTCCTCCTCCCTGTGAGAGGACTCACAGCACTGGAAGAGGCAGTCCAATCACCATGTGATCCCTGCCGCTTAACTTAGCCACAGCAGATGGGAAGCCAGAGCCAAGATGAGTCATTAGATTTTCTGCCATGAGGAGTTGGAATTGTGACTCAGTGACTGAGTCTGTTAGCTGCCTGGGTTTCTCTCTCTTGTGTTTCTCAAATAGCCTCAAGCCCTTCAGCTCCTGGGCCATGTGTTCCTTGAATATCCAAACAAAATGTCTTGGGCCATGTCTTCCTTGAATATCCAGATAAAATGTCTTAAGTCCTGTGGTGGAGACAAATGCTATGTGTTAAACCCAATTTCATTTCTTTTTCCTCTTCCTGGGCACTCAGGAGGACCACATTTCCCAGCTTCCCTTGCAGTTAAGTTGTGCCATGGGCTGTCAGGCGCTAAGCAGAGAGGCAATGGCCAGGAAGAGGAGGCAGGAGTCTTTTCTTGTCCAAGAGCTGGCAATTAAAGCGGTGAAGAGTAGAATGGTGTTGGTAAGGTCAGATGGAGACTTTTCCTTTTAAGGAAGACTTGTACATATGATGGAGCAGGGAGTGGGCCACTGGTGTTGAAGAGAGGAAATGTGGTAGAAATGGGTGTGTCGAAGGGTGGGCTTAAAACAAGATGGGCATGTCAAGGCAGGGACAAGGAATTACTGAGAAAGCTTATCCAGAGGCCTCAGCCTTCTCCCTGGGTCAGGACCACCTACTGAGGGCAGGGGAGGAGAAAGGTTGGGAAAAGAGAAGCTCTGAAACTGCCCTCTGGGCAAGTTCATGGAGCTGGACAGCGTGGATTTGTAGTAAGCCAGACATGAAGAGTTTTGTACCAACCCTGTGGAGTCTGGTGTATTTGGAGAAAGAGCAGAGAAACCTGTCTGTGAGAATTACCAGGAGTCAGAAGCCCATGTTAGTCTACATTATCACTGGCCTAAGGAACAGATGATAGGTAGAAAAATGTTATTCTTCTAGGCCCATGTTTAGTCACTGTTTCTTCTTACTAATACTACAGTGTCTTTAAGTACCAAAACGTTCCATTTCTATGGAATATCTTCTCTCATCTGTAAGAATAAAAAGGATGTTCATTTTCAAATTTTTATTTATTTAAAAAAAATTTTTATTTATTTATTTTTGAGACAGAGTCTCGCTCTGTCACCAGGCTGGAGTGTGGTGGTGCGATCTTGGCTCACTGCAACATCTACCTCCCAGGTTCAAGCAATTCTCCTGCCTCAGCCTCCCAAGTAGCTGGGATTACAGGCACACGCCACCACGCCAAGCTAATTTTTGTATTTTTTTAGTAGATACGGGGTTTCACCATGTTGGCCAGGATGGTCTCAATCTCTTGACCTCGTGATCTGCCCACCTCGGCCTCCCAAAGCGCTGGGATTAGAGGTCAGCCACCGCGCCCAGCCTATTTATTTATTTTTTTATTGCTTCTTGTGGAGCAGGGCTAGTGTGCCTAGCCCACATAGGCAGTGTGCCTAGTCAGCCAGATGTTCATTAAAGAAAAAAAAATTAGGTGCTTATTACTAAACAGAACAAAATCAATCTTTTTTATTTTTAAGAGCCAAAACAATAGTTAACTACTAATTTGAGCTGGGGATCTACTGTCTAGAAAAGTAGTAATTCTTAAGTTATTCAAAAAAAATAAATATAAAAGTAACAGGTTCATTTTTGAAAATTTGTCTGGTACAGAAGAGTTTTATAAAAAAATCCATAATCACATCATCCAGAGCAAAACATTTAAAATATTTTGGTGTCTTAAAAAATTAGTATCATTCCAGATACAGTTTTGCACTCAGTGCTTGTCACACATTATTTTATAAATATTTTTCTAACTCAGCAAAGGAGCTTTAAAATAGAAATTTACTGACTGTAATATATAGTATCAATTTTTTGTTTAACTTTAAGTCTATTTTGTTTGTTTTTTGAGACAGGATCTTGCTCTGTCACCCAGGCTAGATGGAGCGCAGTGGTGCAATCATAGCTCATTACAACGTCAAATTCCTGGGCTCAAGTGATCTTCCTGCCTCAGCCTCCAAAGTAGCTGGGATTACAGGTGCATGCCACCATGCCTGGCTAAATTTTTTTTTTTTGTAGAGATGGGGTCTCACTGTCTTGCCCAGGCTGGTCTTGAATGCCCGGCCTTGAGATCCTCTCACCTCAGCCTCCCAAAGTGTTGGGATTACAGGCATGGGCTACCAGTCCTGGCATAAATCTGTTTTCAGATGAAAAATTGAAAGCTGAAAATTGCAGCAACGTATATTCTGATTATTATCTTAGGACTGGTTTCTACACTAGTATCAATAGGTCAAAGAATGTATTTTTCTTTAAAAATAAACGTTCTAAATTATTTTTTGAAATACACGTGCATCATTTAAAAATGAAAATGATCTATAAAGTATACACTGACCAGTCTTGTCCTCATCCCATTCACCTTATTATACCTTGTCCCCTATAGGTAACCATTTTTCCGTTTCCCGTTTTTATTTCCAGTATTTCTTTCTCAAACGTTTGTTTCCCAATGAGAGAAATATCCTGTGTCTCACAACCTTACAAAAAGGGAGGATATTTTATACACTGTTCCATGTCTTGCTTTTTTCACCTATGTATCCCAGAGATCTCACCATGTAAGTTTGTAAAGATATTTCCTATTCCTTTTGTCTCCCAGTTGCATGATGTCCCATTGTATGGATGTACCACAATTCATTCCACTGGGAGCCCTGAGTTGTTGTCTTATCTTTTGCTATTACAAACAAAGCTATAATAAATAATCTCGAAGTGTGTCATTACATATATGTCTGAGAATATCTGTAGAATAGATTTCAAAAAGTTGGATGCAGAGTGGCCACTAGGATGTGTGGGGCTCCAGGTAAATATTCTTTGCAGGGCTGCTGCCCTCATAGACAATTTGGCTTTAAGCTGTTTTGCAAAATTCTTGAACCCATCTGAAGCACAGTGATTTATCAACGAAGATTTAGTGTAATGGATAGAAAAGAGGCACTTACACATTTGGCTACTGTCCAGTAAGTGCAAATGAAGATTCTTTATGGTGTCCAGGTACCATCTTTTTGTGTTTTTTCTTCACTGTCAAATGTGTTATTCCTGGCAAATTTCATATCTCCCACTGCAAGGAAAAGTTACCAATATTGTTACTAGTTGCAATGCCATGGCTCTTCAGAACCTATTTGTATTGAAATGGTACCACATTGACATCACCACACCGACAGTAGGCAGGGACACCAGTTGAAAGGGCTAACTGAGCAGCAGTGGTCTTGAATACCTTTGGAAGAGAAAGGGACAGCCATCCCTAGAGAACTGCCTGACATGTGACCTAGAGCCAGCAGAGAGGGCGGGGAAACCTCCTTGAGTGTAAGTGATGAAGCATGCACAGGATAAAGGGTGACTGCTACCACTGTGTCATATTTGAAAGCTCTAGACCAGAGGCAACGCTGCAGCCAGATTGCTGACATAAGACAGCTAAGGCTTGAGCCCATGGGTTAACTATGGACAGTTAGTGACCCAGAGCTCTGAACTTGCCCGGTGTCTGACAGAGTCACACAAAATCAACATGTCATTTTGGTAAGTCATCAACTCATCAAATTGCCTTCCTGGAACTAGGGCTGGCCATAGAATCCTGGAACTACCCCACAGGCATGAGTCTCTGGTATCTGGTGGATCTCAGACAAGGGGAAAAACAGACACTGGGGCCCACTGGCCAGTCCCAGGCTTTGGATGGCAACTTACAAAACTGTAAGGTAGGAGCTTCTGCCAACTGGAGACCATACAAGACCAGTTCCAAGTTGGGGCATGGTGCCCAGATGGCAGTGTTGACCCCAGCTAGTGTTAGTATCGGGGGGAGACTTAGAAACAAGATGTAGAAATTAGGAATTCACTCTACAGGGGTGTGTGTGTGTGTGTGTGTTTGCATAGGGCCAGATAGTAAATATCTTAGGCTTTCAGGCTCTATGATCTTTTTTGAAGCTACTCATTCTCCTTTGTAGAAGGAGAGCAGCCATAGACCATATGGAAATGAATGGGGCATGGCTGAATTCTAATACGCTTTATTTATCCAGGCAGCAAACTCGATTTGGTCCACTGGCTGAAATTTGCCAAACTTTGCTGTAAATCATGCAGCAAAGGCCCAGCCTTTACTCACCTGGTAATGGTGGAATTACAGGCTAGGATGAAACGTGTGTTTGTAACTTTGTTATATACGGCCAGATTTCCCACTACAGAGCTTTTATCATTCTGTTCTACCACCAGCAATTTTGTCTCCCTACAGCCTTGCAAAAGAATTTCATCCAGTTTTGAGTTTTTGCCAGTCTGATAGGTAAGTAGTATCTCAGCGTGATTTTAATTAGCATTTCTTTTGAGTGGTATTAAGGACTTCTTTTTCTGTGAACCATCTCTCCTCTGGTTATTTTACTATTGGGCTGTAGGTGTTTTTCCCTTGATTTATAAAAGATCTTTATCGCTAAGGAGATTAACCTTCAATATATATTCTGTAGTTGTTGGATAAAGCATTCTATAGATGTCAATTAGGTCAAGGTGGATGAGAATGTTCAAATGCTTGAGATACTGAGTAGTCATTCAAGCAGAGTTGTCTGGGAGTATTTGGAAATACAGATTCGGAACTCAGTTGAGAGGCTGGGACTAGATAAACTTTGGAATAATCAGTATAGATGATATTGATAACAATAATATGAGTAAGATCACATAGGGAGAGAAAGCAGATGGAGAAGAGATGATAAAACTGAGCCCTAGAGCATTCCAGCATTTAGAGATTGAGAACGAGAGAAGCAGCCAACAAAACAAGCTGACAAGGGGCTTTCAGTAAGGCAAGAAAGAAAGCAAAGGGCAGACTTTCGGAAGCAAAGCAAAGTAAATATTTCAAGAAGGAAGGAAATTCTGTTAAATGACTTTAGAGATTAAATAAGGTAAGAATTCTTATTGGAAATTGATCATTGGATTTGGCAATACGGAGGCTACTGGTGACTTTGACAGTGAAATATATTTTTGGTAAGGAAGTTTAAGAGGAAGAGAATAATTTTGCATGAGAAAGAATCTTGAGTGGCATATTTTTGTCCAAACATCAAATGACTGGTTATTTAAGAAAGAGGAAGTAGAGAACAGAGCAAAAAAGCTAAGCATATCGTTGAATGTCTGAGAAAATCATAAGGTTTGTGAAGAATGAATTTATGAAAGGAATTTTTGTGTGATCGTGTTGGTAACAATTAGAAGGGAATCATTTGTAAGCTTTTCTAAGGATTGAGCTTTGATATTAAAAATACACTAACACAAAATTAAATTTTGGTCCCTTATGTTGGAATAGCAATGTTTTCTTAAATTATCGATCTGCTCTTAGCAAAAATTATGAGGTTTTTATTTTTAATTCTAAAATCTGCTTCTTTAGCAGCCATTTTCTAAACTATAGACAGTTTCTATTTCTGCCACATTTCTTCCTGACATTCATTTAATATCCCTAGTTTCAGGCTGAAAATGCTGTCTTCATTCAGATTGGTAATTTCATTTATCAAGGTAGAGTTTTCCTCTATTAAGCTTCTTACATCTATTTCTCAGTTCAACTTTTGCTCTGTCTTGTGACGTGATTTGCAGGTCACAACATCACTGCCTCCTGTTCTTCTTTCTCCCCTGGAGAAGGACTGAGATGATCTTGCTCTCCTTCAACTTTTTTGTCCGTTCCTTAACTTTTTCTCTAGGTCTAACTCTGCCGTTATAAGCTGACACAAAAATGCTTATCTTAAAGGCCTGGAAAATCAGTGTTTTCTTCTAGTATAACTTGATTCTGTCGGCTTTTCTTAATGTGTCTGCATTGTTCCATGTAACCAGAAAGCTTCTGATGATGTTACTAAGAGACATATAGTCCCCTGCTCAAGGTACTAGTTTCCTTGTTTACATTTCTGTGTAATATGGTACACCTTCACAACCTTCGGCCCACTCTTCCTGTGTCTGATTAAGTTCAAGTACGCTTTCATGAGGCTTGACTTCCAGATTATCTAAATAGGCTTCCCATATGGAGAAGCAGTTATACTGGAGGATTTTCTTTTCGGTAACTGGCCTGAAAAGCAAATATTTTATATTTTATCAAGAGAATTTCCTGTTGTTTTCTTTATTTTTATTGTTATGTAGAAAAACTGAGCTTTGAAAACTTGTGGGTTTTTTTTTTTTTTTTACATTTATGAAACTTTCTGTATTGCTTTTGTAGTCTTTTATCATTCTGGTTAAATGAATGACTATTATTTCACAGTAACCTGTGATCCTTGTTATGATCAAGTATTTTGAACTTTTTCACATCTTTGGCAGGCTTCTTCAGGATTAGCATTCTAAATTAAATCTTTTTGACCTAGAATTAACTTCAGGATTTTCCATTTGGGCCCCTGGAGAGCCTCAAAGGATGTATCTCTCATCTTGTAGAGATAGCAAATGACTAGGCTTGCTTAGTAAATTGTATGGGAAGTATTGTCAAATGATAATGTGATGCTAGGTTTCCTTTCAGTTACATTTATGGGTATGTTATTGATATGAATGTCCCAAAATTGTATAAAACTCTTAGAAATCTAATATCTTGGCCAAGTGTGGTGGCTCACGCCTATAATCCCAGCACTTTGGAAGGCCAAGGTGGGTGGATCACTTGAGGTCAGGGGTTCGAGATTAGCCTGACTAACATGGTGAAACCCCATCTTTACTAAAAAAACAAAATATTAGCCAGGTGTGTTGGCATGTGCCTGCAATCTCAGTCACTCTGGAGGCTGGGGCAGGAGAATCGCTTGAACCTGGGAGGCAGAAGTTGCAGTAAACTGAAGTTGTGGCATTGCACTCTAGCCTGGACAACAAAAACAAAACTCTGTCTCAAAAAAAAGAAAAAAGAATAGAAATCTATCTTATTGGTCATAATTCTGGTTATTATACTGTATGCCACAAAATAACCATTATTTCTTTGTCAATTGCTGATTATAATGAACCGAAGTCAGATTTTTAACCATGCCTGTTTTAAGTCTCTGTCATTTAGGGTTATTGTTTTGATATTTCTCAAAAAGCATTTGCAATTAGTTTCATGAAAAATACTCTAAAACAAGTACTGTCAAATACAGGTTTCTTTCTTTCTTTTTTTTTTTTTTTTTTTTGAGATGGAGTTTCGCTTTTGTTACCCAGGCTGGAGTGCAATGGCGAGATCTCGGCTCACTGCAACCTCCGCCTCCTGGGTTCAGGCAATTCTCCTGCCTCAGCCTCCTGAGTAGCTGGGATTACAGGCACGTGCCACCATGCCCAGCTAATTTTTTTTTTTTTGTATTTTTAGTAGAGACGGGGTTTCACCATGTTGACCAGGATGGTCTCAATCTCTTGGCCTCGTGATCCACCCACCTCGGCCTCCCAAATACAGGTTTCTAATAACTGTAAGATCAATGGACTAAATAAAAATTCTTCAAAACTCTAATGAAGAAACTGATAGGTTCATAAAACAGATAAGATAAAGCAAAACAAAAATTAATTACATGAGATTAAGCATTCCTATTGCAGTGCCTATTCCTGAATATCATTTTCTTTTAGAAACTTTCTGTTTGCTATTTAGGTTGACAACAAGTTTGCTTTCAGTAAAGTGCTGGGGACAAAGACCTGTCTCTCAGAAAGTGAAGTCATTGGAGAAACAGAGTAGGTTGCTGGGCAATTGAGGGTTAACTTGATGTCTGAAGTTATAAATTTAAAGATCTGTCCAGAGGAGTTGTGTGGTTTTCATGAGCCATATTAAGCACTCAGGTACAGGCAAAACATAGATGTTTTTATCCAGAGTTTGTGTTCCTTCCTGCCAGCACGAGAGAGGCAGTTGTTGGATGTATGGATTGATGAACCAAGCAATTTAAGTTGGATAATGAGAGAAGTGAGGAAATGAGGAGAGTATTTGACAGTCAAAAGTGGTAAAGCAATGCGTTGGAGGTCTAGATATGGTCAAAGCCCAATTTATTACAATTCATAAATATCCTGTGTATACATAAATTACCCGTCTCTTCTGGGAGATTTCCACACTGGCTTGATGTTATCTAGTTCATCAAGAAGTAAATATAACAAGACTGGGTAATTATTTCTTAGATTTTATTCTTAGTTGAGTTTACAACAATTTGAAGACTGCAGAAGCCCATTATAAATGGGTACACTATACCATAGATAAAAGGCAAGGAAGCCTAATTACTGGAAGATTTTTTTAAATGGTCTTTATTTGGCTACATCATTGATAGTCTATGGTGTAGAATTTCTTGACATCTCCCAGAAGATGTATTACTGTAAGTTTCCATTTTATCAGGTTCTAAGAAACTTTATTTTTGAAAGAAAAAAATGGTGGGCAAGAAAGGAAAACGTTTTTAAGAGAGTTATCTGTGTATAAATAAAGTGGCTGATAAATTAGTGAAAGGAAGAAGTTTGGAAAGCAGAAGTTTTAATGTTGTATAAAAATAAATACAGTGAACTAACATTACTTAAGACTGATAATAGACGATTGTTGTGGGTAAGTGAAATGAGTCATTTTATCCGTTGCATACTTATGGGAAGGCTTTCAAAAGGTCGGTAATAACTTAAAGGAATCTACATCCCTTTTATAATCAGCGAATTGGTGACTAATGTGTTTTTTTTCTCCTATTACATGCCTTTTAGACATTTGGTTGTTCTAACCAAGGTGGGGTAGCAAAAGAGAAACGAGACAGAACTCTATCAGTCATTATATTTATTTACCAGCATTTACAGCAAATGGCCAGACCTGGGCAAGGTGGTAGCAATGATGGATTCTACGAATTAAGGCATTGTTTTTTATTTCAAAATTTTCATTTACCTGTATTTTCCTTGGTCTTAGAAACATGAATAATTTAGAGCTGGCAATACTCACCATCAGGATATAATAAATGGAGGTTTCTCTGTCTGAAATCGAAAAGATGTAGTAACACTCTATTGTACTTTTAAAAATCCTATTTTTCCAGTTGGCCTCCTTTCAGTTAATTAGTTAGGTAGTCTTGGTACATTTGGAGGGTCATAAACGTGTCATAGAAAGAGTACTGGCATTATGAAAACCTGGATGTTAGGGATTTCACAATTTGGTCATTTTGCAGCTGCACAACTTTAGAAATGTAAGTTCTCTGAATGTCAGTTTCCTCTGCTATAAAATAGAGATAGGAATACCCATCTGACATATTTTTCAGGTACTATTGTGAGTATTAAATAATATTGCATATTTGAATGTGCACTGGAATGTGTAATACAACAGACTAAAGTTGTTGATTAATGCTTTAAAAATGTAGCTTTCACTGTATGTTTTTTGTTAAAAAAATCAAAATAGAAATCAGTGGGAAATGTAAATGTTTATGAATCATACAGCCCAAATGTAAATAAGTAATTTACAAATGCTTTACAATAAAATCAAAGATATTATTCATGAATTTTTAAAGTAAAAAATCTTTGCAGCTAAATATTCATCAACTTAAACTTATTCTTTCTTTTATAAGAATGTTCACTATGTGACATTATAACTCTCCAAAGGAGAAATTCTATAATTAGTTCAGTTCTCTGCCTTAAAAGTTTCATTATAAGGCAGAAGAATGGAATAATTAAGTTTAAAAATAAGCAAAAATATATAATTCTAAACCACAGCCCCCTCATTTAAAAGAGCTTAACAAGAATACTTTTCCCAATGTACTTATAAACAACCTAATATTTATATAATAACACAAACGTACAACTTAAATCATGATGATCAAAGGTAATGTGCAATTTGATACCCTTATCAGCTTAAATTATTAAACATCTAATGGTCTTGAGAGACTGCACTGAATTTTAAAAAATGAACCACATGTGCTTTAAAAATGGTTACCTATTGAATATGGTGTTGGTCAACTGTTTAGAATATAGGCCAGAGTTTTAGAAAAATATTTGAGAA